CAGATTGGTTGGCAAACATATTACTGCTCACACTTTGCTCGACGAGACAATAAAAACTTTATTTTATTAAACTGACTAGAAAGTTATGTATTAAACAACATTTCTATTTTATAAACACACATATACAAGGTTCTAAAGTTCGCGTTGTAGATAATCTAAGAGTTAAAAGTTTTAGGTAATTTGATAGCGACGATTTGACGCTGACAAATTTAAATTGATTGATAAAGCTAATATTTTGATAATCGTAGTCCATCATATTGGACGCATTAAGAAAGACATATTAATTAAGAATAATAATAATTAATAAGTAAGTATTAAAGTCTAGGTAAACATGTTTCTTTATCATAAACATCACATTATTTCATTGAAATCTGGTACCCAACGTAAGATTAAAGTTGTGGTATGGGTAACCAGGGCTCTCGCATAAACATATACAAGAGAAGTAAAATAATAACATATTAGCGACTTGTTGTTACAATTTTAGTTAATTATAAACTATAATTATTCTTCAGACTATTTTTCACAATCACAAAATAGATTGGGATGTGTGCGTGTCTTGAATTGAGTATGTATGGGTGTATGGTTGTATAGCGTTGAAAATCCGGGTAGGTTCTCAGTATCATCGTAAGACTTAAAAGCAAGACGAATGCTATTCTTTGGAAGGTTTACCTTAATAGGTAGATGAACATAAATGCGTAAGATTTTTTAAAATATAATGTATTTATTATTCTAAACCTTCTTTAGAAAATCTAGAAAATATAAACACGTTCCTTACTCTCGAAATTAAAACTTGAAGCGTGCAAGAGGTAAGCCTCCGAGGGTGAAAAATATTAAAAGATAGTTTCAAAATTTATTCAGGGGCGTTACCCTCCTTAGAGGGTGCAGTTTCACAACGTTCCTCACATCTTCTCTTATTAAGAATACAACTTTAGTGCCAGAGATAACAGAAAGCAAATAAATAAAACACTTACTTATTCTCTCTCAAACGTTTTAACAACAAGAAAACAAATGAAACCTAACTTGATGAAAAACAAATAATGTTTCTTAAACTTATTTGATTTGACGTCTAGCCTTACATAAAATAAGTTTAATCCGTCCGTAAGTAAATACAACCACTTTTCATCAAGTGGTTTGGTTTAATCACATACGTACAATGGATAGAAAAAAAACTACGATACGTGACGCTTGTTAAGTTTCATCATTTTTTAAACCTTTAAATACACTCACAGCTATATCCTTTAATGGGTAGGCAGAGACGTATTAATTCAGTTATAACTATATAAACCAACATATAATTTGACGCAAGACAATTATTTTTATAATCCAGTTACACTATTCTGATGCTATTTTTGTCTAACTTGACACATCATCTCACATGCAGAAGTTTGATATCAAATTAGGACTAATAATAACCAGACTGCTTATAAATTACATCTTTATATTTCTAAACAGATAAAAATGGAGTCTGTCTATAACTGTCTGGATATAATGTATCTACCCAAACTCACAACAATTGATCGTGCTCATTATTTAATTATTTGTCACGGGTTAGAATCAAACCCACGACCTCTAGCTCAGCAGTCAGGATCCCTAAATACTAAACCAACAGACCAGTCAACTACTTAATAATTGTAAATCAAAAAACTGTTTCTCTCGAATTATTTGTCTTTAAAATACTATTAAATAAATAGGTATAATCAGTACGTACTGCTCTGTAGGCATGGAACAAAATCACAGTAACCTGTGATTTATCATTAATTTTTTCCAACGTAGGTTGGGTTTTGCTACGTACTCACGCGTTGCTGCTTATTTCTTTTTAATTATTATGGAGGGAATAGTAGTTATATTTAACAAAATAATTAGAAGATTTACTGTTAAATAGGCAAATATGGTTTTTATGCGTCGTCTGAAAGCAGCTTATTGGCAACAACGCTTGAGTAATTAGCAACTATAACCTATGTCTTAATAATAGCAGTTCCCGGATCTCTCCTGTTACAGGCGCAGAGTGGCACACCGTGTGATTTTAGTCGGTCTGATTCCGACCCACCACCCCGCCGCAAACCCCGGTGGGGTGACGGCCCGGGGAGTTTCCACACGAAAAAAAAGAAAGGTAGGAAATAAACGAATGATAAATCACAGTTCACTGTGATTTTGTTCCATAGCTACTGTCCTGAGACTCGGTCTATTTACGCAAAGAGGTTTTGTGATGTAATGAGATCTATCTACAACTGGTTTGCGTATGAAAGCGGCTCTTTAAATATTTGAAAGAGTAATACCGCGATTACATTGTTTTTGGCGTCTGACGGTAAAAGCATATTTGTATATTAGAAAGTAGATAAAAAGGCAATAGATCTTTTTCCCGAGGTTTATTCTCTTTGCTTTTAATACAAAATAGCTTTTAAGTTTAGGATTTTTTTTTATATATATATTCTTCTTACCTTATTTCATAACATTTATCTAAAAAGTTACAGCCGAATTTCGACCTCTGGTCGACTACAGGTATCTATCATCATCATTAACAGCCTTTAATAGTCCACTACTGGACGTAGGCCTGCCTAGGCCAAGTATTTATAAGTAGACCTATTTGGTCTACTTATAAATACATACAAAGGGTTTAAACGCTTAAATAATATACGGTGCTAAAAACTTGTAAAAACTGTAATGGTTTGTTTTAAAAAAAATAGTATAAAATATCAAAATGTGTGTATCCAAATCTTCCTGTTCCTTCTGCTTTCTTTCTTTTTATTTATAATAGAGGTTGCAAAGAAGATGTCACTAGAATACAATTAAACTCAGACAGCCGTACATTTTTGCAATATTAAAAGTCTAGAAACATTAATGATTAAATACTATAAAAATTTTAACTGTTAATAAAACACAATAATTTCTTATCAATAAAAAAAAATCACACGATTTCTAAGAAAGTCATTAGTCACAATAATTATTAACTATCGTAATTGAACACAATGGCTTTTTCTTCCCATGACTTCAATACTTATTGAAGGTTGTATTGGAACTAGGTTAACGGTTAATTAGGTTTAATCTCCATATCGTTTGTGTGATTCTATTTTCTCAACCTTTTTTGTTCTGATTTGTACAAGTATCATCAGAAAGTCATCAAAAGGTCAATTCTTGTAATAAAAAATCTTTCAAAATTCAGTTCCGATAAATTGTCGATCAAACAAATGTCATATAAAAGGTTTTCTCGTAGTAAAGTATTAAACATTCAACGTTGACTGTCGAATTGACAGACCGAAAGTTGAATCAGTATTATATTGCATTGTATGCTTAGTTACTACAAGAACACCTTTTATGACCTTTGTGAGATCGAGAATATATCAGAACTGAGTCCCCGCAAACAAAACTTAGCCTAAGGGGGATTGAAACATGACAGAATTGTCAGTCGAGTGGCGTGTCAGATGTTATGTAGGTCTTGAGAGATTAATCGGCTTTGCAGAACAGACGTCAATAATAATCGACGACATTGTTACAGTTTATTTGACTTTGACAGAACTACGATTCTAATTTGCAAACAATGCTCTGAAATCGATCTAGATTTACAAGGAAAAGGTCTAAGGATAACTGGAGAGTATAAAACAGGTAAGAATTCTGACCAGGGTACAGTTAAGCACACGGAGTTGAATTGTGATGTGGTAGTTGTAAAAGTGGAATATATTGTATTGGATCAAGTTAGTCCTATTTATTATTGCAAGTAAGATTTTTCACCTCTATTACTTTGATCAAACGTCGAGACATACGTGTATTCGGTAAAGCACAGCTCAGTGCAGACTAGGTTTGAAAAAGTATAGAAGAACGCACAAAGCTGACAGAAGCTGAAGCTGTGCCTTTCCTTAGACCTTTCTAAGGAGAAGCCTATGTTTTGGCCTACTATACCAGCCTGACCAGAGGGGTTTGTAGGTATAGGGTTTGTGTCATGCAGATATGTGAGATGCAATTCAGTGTTGTCTGATCAGAATTTATTTTAACATTAAAGATCGGATTATTGATCGCTTCTTTATTGCATAACGCTTACTACCTAATGTCACTTATAATAAACATTTTTTTATACCTGGTTAGACTACGGCTTGTCCTAAATATTCGGTCTCAGTAGGCTTGAACATGTCTATTCTCTTGTTTATATTGTGTTTGTAACTCTGTATGATGTACTTATCATCTCGACTTCGCTTCATTGGAAATTATCATTGCGGTCCTGTACCGCAATGATAATTTCCAATTGTATTAAATTGTAATCAGGGCTAAGCGAAATTGGGAGAAATGTAAGAATACCTCACGATGTACGACATTACATCGGCGATGACGGTGCACTCTCTCTACGAGCAATATTGGAAAATAAATAGTATTGGCACACATCCATGAAGTGTCCTATCCTGTTGAAAGAATACGTTACCTATTTTTATGAACCGATAATCCACCCTCTTTTTATCTTCAACAGCACTTACCTGAAAGAATAAAAAATACATTAAATAAAACTTTAATAGCTAGATTGTAAAATAAACATTAATGAATGCCATAATGTCTCAGAAAATTGTTTTTTTATGAACAGTTTAAAAAGTAAAGACGTGTCAGAAAGGAAAATGCGCTTCATCTGACGAGAGCTTATTTTGTGTTAGGCTAAATTAACATTTTATTAAGATTGTAAATTCTATATTAAGAGAGAGATAAATAAAATGTATACGTTAATACGTGGAGAAAATTTGTTAAACATATAAGGCACACGGGAGCATATCATATTTAGAATACTTAATAGGCTGGTCAATCAAAATGATCTACATTCGACCGTCACGTCATTTCTAGTATTATTATTTTTTGTACGCGAAAGAAGTTCACCATTCAACGTCAGTGATACATGGTACTATTTTAGTAACTAGGTGTAGTATTTGTCCCCGAAATAACTTTAGGAAATCAGCTGATTGTATTTAAATAAACTATTTTAATGTTTTTGACAAAATTCTGTGTCAAACAATATTTATTTCCCCAGCATGAAACTCCTTTTAGTCGTTGTGGTCATCACGTTCTCTTGCGTCATCGCAGAGTACACGAGCAGATACGACGAGGTTAAACTGGATGAGGTCCTGTCAAACAAGAGATTGCTGAATGGCTACATGAAGTGTGCGCTTGATAAGGGGCCTTGCACTCCTGAAGGGAAAGAACTAAAGTGTAAGTATATTGATATGAAATCTAATGTTAAGGGTCAGACCGACTGTTGGCGTGGCGACGCGTCACCACGCAATTCCGAATTAAGTTGTCTCCACTTAATTATATTTATTTATTATAATTAGATACTTTTAAACATCAATCTTGGATATACACTATTTCAATCATCTTGAAAAATAATCTGTAATGACTAAGTTGACGTTTCAAATTCGTTCTAATGCAATTCAAATTATTATTTTTATTATTTACATATAATTGGTCATGCAATCAACTTCTACGATAACATTATGTTTAAAAAAACTCATTTGTTTTAATATTTTATTACACACACACACACACACACAAACACAAATACAAGTTAATTTAAATTAATAATTGCAAATTTTACTCATTATACTAATATTTTCTGTAGATTGACATACAAACATCCGTAGAGCGAAATCTGTAAAAAGTCCTAAAACTTGCAGTGTCCGGAGCCCTTTTTTCTAATTTCATAGGACCAATTACACTTTTGTTCTAAATTGTTACTTGAAAATTCTTGAACCTTTATTTAAGTAATCAATTTTTATAAATATTAATTTTATATATCCTCACAGTCTACATAGTCGACGCGCTGAAATCAGGTTGTGAGAAGTGCACTGACCGTCACCGCAAGAGCATCAAGAAGGTGATCAAACACTTAGTGAAGAACGAGCCCGAATACTGGCAGCAAGCTGTAGACAAATACGACCCTGACAAGAAATACACCCACACGTACGAAAAAGAATTAAAGAACTGGTAATACTGTAAAACTAGATCATCGTAACCAGACAAATGTCAGACATTTTTGTCAGATAAATTTATTTTTGTCAGTTTTATTTTTTTCACTTATATATATTTCATTACTTTATTTGTTCTTCTACGTATTTAAATAAATTTTAACGTAAATATGTATTACGTAGTTAAAATAGTTGTAAAAGCAATTTCTCTGAGGAATTTGGTTATTTTGGTGGGATTTGCATTACTTAGGTATTATTTTACCATACTCTACCACAGTTTTTGGTATTTATCTGGAATTGTACTAAACTATGTGAGATATTGACGTAGTATAACAAATAACTAAGGAACTGGAGCCTCTTTAATTGTAAATACATAATTAATTTTACGTGTTCCATATTTATGTTTGTTTTTTATGTTGCGGTGTATTAAATCATTTCTTATTTTTAATTTGTAATATATTCTCCTAAATATCTTTTGAGAGAACCCTCAGTATCTGACAAAATTTTGTCTAGTAAAAAATCTGGTTATTATAACTTCTTAAATGCATAATTATTTTAGACCTTCTTAATTTTTTTAACAGACTATTAGAAGTGTATATAAAATAACAAGTATAAGTAAGTTATTTATTTTAGCTTTAAATATAATGTAATAAAGAGCAAAGCAAAATACATTGTTTGTTTCATTAACGATTATAAAGAATACATATGTTATTAGAAAGAGATACGAGAGAGAGCCCATACTCAACAGCATTTTTTACCCTGAGAGAGTCATGCATGGGCACAATTGGGCCGGTTTGACCGGTGTGACCGATCTTTGAGAGGCCTCTCAAAATCTGGTATTTAGCAATTATTTCGATGCTTTTCACTGAGTTAGGTGACCGGAGCCCAAACCCTCCCTGTTTCTTGGAGTAAAAGAGCGCCAAGGCACTTGTGACTAGAGTTGCAGGTGTCCACAGGCAGCGCTAGTCACTAACCATCAACTTGTCTGCTCGTTTGCCCCTCATTCGTAGGAAATAGAGAGTGGCGATTGTTCCACCGACAAGAGCTTGGCTCTAAAATTGAGAGAGAGAGTGCTCAAATATGTCTTGTACTATGGGTACTAGACAACTGATATAAATACATATACGTATATACTTTTCTTTTGTAGTTACATATATATTAGAATACATATATACAATGTTACATATATAGAAACACCCAGACCAAATCAAACATTCCATGTTCATGCACACAAATGTTTGACTTGAGCGGGAATCGAACCCGCGACCTTTGGAATGGCAGTCCGTTACATAAACCACTACGCCATCCGGTCGTCACAGTTATAAAAGTAATACGTATATGTGACAATCTACAGTGCAACCTTAATCGACTTCCTCGATTTAACAAATTCTTTGTAATCCCCTTGAATTGTCCATAAGAGTCAATGTAAAATTTACCATTACATTGCGAAGATTTTTTGAGAACGACCTCTTTATAACGAATTTTCAACTATCACAAAAAGGTGTAAATACCTCTAATTACCGAATTTTGTCAACCCGAAACCTTTACATAACGTTGCCATCAATATGACCCTTAATCCCATATGTATGTATATGATTCAGTCGCAACAGGTTTCGAAACGTCTTTTCGTAAAATAATCAGTGTTGTTTTATGGAAAGTAATATAAACAGTCCTGCTCGTCACTATTGTTAAAGATTCTAGTTGCAATGACTCAGAAACGTAAAAGGACCAACCTAGCCTTAATATAACAAACCTCAGTTTAACGAATTACTTGATATAACGAATATTTACTTGTTCCCTTCCGATTTGTTATATTGAGGTTGCACTGTATTTTATAAATGAATACCACCGCGTTTACAATGCAATAGGTTGCGAGAAACAGGCATGACAATAAAATCCCAATAAAATTCAATAAAATGAATGAAATCTAAATCTGTAGTTTAGATTTCATCCATTTTGCTAAGTCAAATATAATTTGTTAATAAATAAAGTTACACAACTTTTCAACAGCTTCTTGTTGCCGCCATTTTAATAAGCGTTAATTACTTCCTAAGTTTGTTTCAATAACAATTTTAGAAATTCTAACAATTTTTTTGAAAAATTTCCTAGACTTTATTTATTTACCTATAAGAGGAAATGAGCTTTGTGCTCTCCTACATAGAGATCATTTTATTTTTAATCGTTTATTTCTAATTTTGGATAATAATATTAATATTTTGTAGCAGTGGTGTGTTTTTTCCTTTTGATCACACCTTTCTGGAACGCTTTATATAGTGGCAGCATGTAGTGGTTTATATCAATCCTACTACGGCTAATTATAAAAAAGCGATCACAAAAGAGTATACAACACAATTTATGCGAATGTTAAGAGGGTTGAAAAATATTCAATAGTATTGACTATACTCGTACCATGACCATTAAATTGTCGGGCCTGCACAAAAACTGAAAACAAATATTATTTATGTTGAGACCCGACCTGACTGGGTTATCCGGTACGAGCTAAAAAAAAAGATGGCGTATAACCGAAGTATACAGGTCACTTTTAAGTCCTTGCGTTTCAAGGATTTGCAATTTCGCTCAGTTAGGGGGATAGAAATTTTATATCGCCTTAAGTTGCTATTATTAGTGATATCAAAATTCCATAGTTCATACAAAGCGAAGCACGAAGCAAGAATCTTTTTCATTTTCTTATTGATGTCAAGTCGCAAGCCAGCCAGTATTTTGTATGTAGAACAACAACTGAATACATTTTTTTAGAACATGTCTTCTAAAATAATTATACCATTTTAAAGTACGTATTACAAAAGTAGTTAAGGGAAAAGCAATATTAATGTGATAATGGCTACCCTGAAGAAAAAGGACTTTGAAGCTATTTGGTTTTTCAATAAGAAAAACCCTGGGTGAAGGAAGGTTGGTACGCAGGCCATAAAGAAACAGCCAAAACCATTTCGTAATGAAATGAATGAGTGTGCGAAAGAGGACGTCGAGTCATTAGGGAGAATGGCAGAAGAACACTCATTGCACCGGCCCCAAATAAATTTGAGAAAAGGTTAGCTAGACAATGATAATGATTTATATTTTCGTCATCATTTTCCCATCTATAGGACATCCACTGCTGGACGATAAATCAAAGTAAACCGGTTGATAGAAGCCTGCATCCACCGACGCACTGCAATCTTCTCCCGCACTAGGAATATATCCTGTGCCGCAGGGGAACTTTACAAACATACATGAAATGGCCACAAAGAACAACCAGACTTAGAACAACAATATGTGGATCACACAAAGTGGTGTCCTATGTGGGGATCGAACCTACAACACTCAGCGCATTAGGAAGCGATGACGTGGCGACCGCTTAAACCACTAGGCCATCTGTACAGTCAAGCTTTACATCTAAGGTTATCTCTCAATCTTTATAATGAATAACTTAATCTGTGTTGTTTACTCCGTGGTATCCAAGACGCACCAACCACCAGTTCATTTTTGTGGCGCTTTGGACAATCTTGGTTCTTTTGTGTATCTCCTCATTTCTGATTCGATCCCACTGCCGAGCCACTAACTTTAATCGTAGCCCTCTTCAATAGCTAATTCATCAAGAGTACAGACCGCGTTGAATATCATAATAAAACAAATATCTTGGACTGGCCTGCGATCTAGTAGTTAGTGAAGCTGACTTCAAACAAAAAAAAACCGTATCCTAATCGGTCCATTCGTTTAGAAGCGACGAGCTCTTTAATTTACAGTCCGTAATAAAAATGTGATAAGCTTTACAAATATCAGTACCTCCCGTTTCCTAGCTTGCTAATATAATATAAGCAAAATGACACGCCCGTGATATTTAGGTAAAAATACATATTATATATGATTATATTTCACGACAAATCGCGTGTTCAGAATAAATAATTTGTCCAACCTGCAGTCCAGTAGTACATGTTGTTTCCATTTTGATAATTAGGGCGACATAAACAACTCCCACTATAGGATTGATGTGTGATTCTCACTAATTTGTTCGCACCTTCTTTACAAACATATTTTTTTTTCTTCACGACATATTTTGAGTATTACGGAGCCTCTCGGTCTCGTAGTTAGTGAGCCTGACTGCTAAGCCAGAGGTCGTGGGTTCGACTCCCACTCAAGACAAATAATTGTGTGACGAGCACGATTATGTGTTCTGTGTCTCGGTGTACTTTACCTATGATATGTATGTATTTTGAAATATATAAGTATGTTTATCAGCAGAATGGTTACCACAGTACAGTCTCTGCTTGGTTTGGAATCACACGACCATATGTCAGATGTGTGAGATGACTATTACATATACATTTTAAGCGTATACTCGGCATACTGCAATATAAAGACATGTATTAAAGAAGAGATCTCCAAAAGGTGGTGAGGATTTTATATGTAGAAGTTGATGGATGCAATGAAAAGACGAAGAGAAAAGCAATAAGAAAAAGGTGCTTGGAATCATGCTTGCGACGACTTCAATTAAATTTGTTTAAATACAATAAAATAATGTGTTTAAGAACTTAACTAACAACAAAACCAATGAAATTGTCAATCAAAAATTATAATGTATTTTTGAGTAAATGCTTTCAGTTTACAAGAGCAATCAATTTTCACCTGTGAAAATATTCACAACCACGAAAAAATAAAAGCAATTGCTTTGATGGGTTTACACAGCAATTTAGGCGATGTTGATGTCTCACGGGGCGTAAACGTTTGAAGATTGATTCAATTTTAAGGATTTAACCGTAATGATACCAAAAAAAAAACATGAGTTTTGCATACTATATATATGTATATAGCTTGTTTGTAGGCATGTGAATACATTTTTATTGGGAACGCGGTTAAAATTAATTTTACATGTTGTATCACTTTTATCGTTTAGCATAGACAGTCTAACTGAGAGTTCCAGAACAAAGAAAAGAGTAGTTCAAGAGATGTTCAAGCTCAGAGGGCTTTTCGATGTAAGCTGCCTGTATAAGCAGATTTACTGGAGAATCTTAGGCGACAAGGTTAC